GCCGCGTTGCCGGTCGAGGTGAAGGTGTTGGAGACTTTCGAAAGTTCAGACTTCGAGATGCAAAGAGAGTAAGTTTCATATCATGGGCATTAAGTTCAAAATTTCGACAATGGACCACTAGACAAGGTACGAATTTCAGCATTCTGATACATGTTTCTTAACCAAAATTTCACGTAGAATACGATGTGTACAACAAAATTTACCGAAATTAACTCCTGACGAAGATATTTAATGATTCTTCGTGCGTGAATTCAAACCATCCGCTTATGCAAACTCAATGGTCTACGTGATTCACATCGCGCGCTTATCTTTATCATGATAGTCTCTGCAATATAAAAATCTGGCAACCTCGATCTTGACGCTTCGGCTCAGCTATAGCAAATTGCGTATAGTTTGAACAACACATGGTGGGAAATGAACATTACTCGATTGAGATGCTTCCTGAAACCGTTGTAGAGCGCGATTTGACTCACGTAAAGCTTTGAGTTTCTTGTGAGCGGGCAGTTCAAATTCCTCGCAACCAATGTGAAATAAAAACGTTAATATCTCCGTAATGAGTTGGTTTCAGTGATTTTCGCTGCGCGAATCGTGTTTTACGTAAAATTCTGCTCAAGAAACATGTATCAGAATACTTAAAATCGTAGCTTGTCTAGTGGTCCATTGCTGTAATCCGCAAAGGCAGAATTTCCTGTACAGAACGCTTTTGATGATTGTGTGTTGCAATTTTGACGGAGAACTCTCTTATGTGCCGTATATGATTTTTTTCGTGGAACTGTCTTACATACCCGAGGTATTAATATCTCAATTTTATGTGTTCGTGGACCAGTGTCAATTTTCTTGGTCTCATTTATTCTGCCCTGCTGAAGGAGATTGCATTACAGAGCCGATGAAAAATAGGCTCAAATAAAGGACCACCCTTCAACTTGGACTGAGCATAGTGCGTCTCATAAACACCATCTGATCCCACCTCTTTAAGGCGCCAATGTTTGTCATAATATTGGCATCATATTTTTTCTCAAAACTCGTAGAGTATAAATTAGAAGTAAAACGACATATCGACGGTGAAACTACCAAACCACGTATCTCGGTTGCGGTGTTTAAAAATCTACGCTCACATTTTATTTTTTTAAAGTAGACCAAATCAATATCATTCCTTGAAATTTTCACAGAATTTTCTCCGCACGAAGAGGAAAAATCACAGAAATTTTTAAGACTGGACGTTCGGTAGTTTTTCATTTAAAAAATAAAGTATGACAGGAAGTCTGCGACGTCGCAAACCGAGATACGTGGTTTGGTAGTTTCACCGTCGATATGGTAAAAACCCATTTTCCTCCAGCATCCTACGCCCTTTCTCGTTAAGGCAGTATTAATCTTCTTTATTTTATACTAACTGATTGCGTTGGACGTACGGGTCGTAATACAGTATGTTGGAATTTCTTTAGGCAACGTGCGTTGAAAATTCAGCATAAAGCTGATTTCTCAATACAGAGGGGGAAAGCTCACAGACAAACACAATTCTCCCACAAAAAGATACGCTGTTTTTCATTGCTGCGGGAAAATTGTGCCTGTGTGTGAGCTTTTTCCCTGAGTACTGAGATATCAGCTTTCTGCTGAATTTTTTGCACGTTGGCTAAAGAAATTCCAACATTCTGTTCTATATTTTAGCTCTTCATAAAATAGGAAGGTTATAAAAAGAGGGTTTTGGCTCACAATTTTTTCTCATCAAGAACAATAAAAATTTTCTTGAATGGAAAAATGCAATTTAATTCATTTTTTATTGTAGGTAAATGGAAGACACACTGGAAAAAAAAAAACACATTGGATCTAGAGTCCAGACTCTTGAAAACATTGACAAGTAAAAAGGACTCTTGATTCAATCAGATTTAAGCTTAAATCAAAAGGAAATCCGCTCAAATTAAGAGGCTTGGTTCGTGATTTAAGCTTACATCTGATTGAATCAAGAGTATTTTTGTCGATGTTTTTAAGAGTCTAGACTCCAGATCCAATGTGTTTTTTTTTTTCCATAGTGCAATTTTTTCTAGCCAAAAAAATGTTTTTTGAAGCCATTTTTTCAGGTGATTCTTGTAGGAGCCCTTCCCTGCAAGCTGGCAGCATACACAGTTAAAAAAAAATGGACTTGTGTATTATTGTGTAGTTGTTTTTAGAAATTTCAGTGTACTTCTTCTGAAAATCTTGGAGTAAAAATACTCGAGGTGGAGAAAAAGTGCACAATCTCGATGAATAAACACAAATAACAAAAAAATGCTTACAAAAATTACTCAAGGGCTCTTCTGACTGAGTGAAATCGTAGAACTTTGTGTTTTCAAAATAAAAACACAACATTTGCAACATATTCTGATTTCTTAAGAAAAGATGCACAATAATATCACGACTCTGTGTTTCTTTTCATTAACGAGAGAGAATGTTTTTACGGTCCTAAGAAAATATTCTTACGTCGGTGTTGTTTTGCACACTCGTAGACTAAAACATCATGGTGCAAAGAGAAATAAAACACAGGCAATCTCGAGAAAAAAACTCAAAACGGTTGGGCAGCAGAACCTCTGTGGGTTAAAATAAATTAACCAATTGGGAGAAAAAATACTCTACTAGTATGATTAAGTTCTGAAATGATGTAAAGAAATACACTACAAATATATGAAAGTGCACGAGTTTGTGCACAAATTAACAGCTCTGTGTGTTAATGCTCATTGTTCGTGTGTAAAAACACAGTGGTTGTGTATATATTTTGGTTCACGCATGCGCAGTAAGTCCCCGTCTCGCAACGCAGATACCCATGATCCTCAGTTAGAGCGTGCGCGATCCGCGAGACCCATGTCCAAGTGAATTGTGCAACCCAGGTCGAGTGTTCTTCCGTTGTATATTTTTAACGTATTAAGCATTCCATTGCGTGATATACTTATTTTGTTTGAACGATAGCATCGTTACGAAAAGGCTCCGCTGCCTTATACTTAGTGATTTATAGTGATTACGAATGGAAAGACGAATGAACAACTAGCATACACTGTTAAAAATCTTTCGGGAAACCCGTAGTGAAATGCGGAGTGACCTGAGATGCGCAGTGAAAATCACTCCGTCGAGGAGTTCGGAACTCTCCATGAAAGTGAATTGCCGCCATAGCGAGACAATGTCGCTGCAGCGAATCAGTTGTTAACTCCCCACTTTTACCCGGAGTGATTTTCACCCCGAGCAGAGAGTGCGCCATTGCGCGCACTACTGCACAAACGCGACCCATGAGAATAAGAGGCGTGATTTCAGCCTTATCAACCATCCGACCCTCGTGGTTCAGTGGCAGAGCACTGGACTATCACCAACGCGGCTCGGGTCCAAATCCACACGGGAGCGCTCGGAATTTTACGCTACAAATCGTCGCAGGATCTAAGGTAAATGGTTAATGTTGTCATTACTAAGGTAATCCGAATTTCAAGTGTGATAAACTTGTAGAAACCCGTAACTAATGTTCATGGCAAGAACTTCCATGTCTATTTGACAGCGTGCGCTGAGTATGTCGTAGAAAGTAGTTCAGTCATTAATTGACAGATAGCACTATCGGCGTGATTTCGTGAAATTTTGAAACCCTGCGCGGTAGCGTCGCGTGAATTCTTGTAGCAGCATATTGCCCCTTCCTCGAGCCTCCCCTCACCTCTCCTGAAATCACTCCTTTGTGTGGTGATTAGCACCCTGTGGTCGGGGTGCATTACACGCCGAGTTCAGGAGTGTTGTTCCCTCCGCGCCGTCGGTCACTCGTTCGTATTTTCACTCGATTTTTCCATGGGCAAAATAGAGGCGAAGTAAGAGTGATTCTTACCCCGGAATCTTCTAAAATTTCTAACAATGTAGCCACATGGCAACACTGTCGAGTTTGGAGAAGCGTACATCCGGACGGAACCTAGAAATTTTTCGGACACGTTTTATCTGTGTACAGATGTATAATTCTCTACCTAATGATTTTAAGGATCTACCTCGTGAAGGTAACTTAGTAGCAATTTTCTATCAATTGAAAACGTTCTGTTTAGTAGGAAATGCATAAGATTCAAACGAGTTCTTATAGGTGATTGTTCTTCTTAATCTTTTAACACAGCCTGCTTTTTGACATGCATCATAGCCGTCATTTGGCGGCATCTATGTATGCACTGTTGAATAAATAAATCTCAAGATTATGGTGAATATTTATTTAATTGCTTCCTGAACACTTGAGCATTCGATAGATAAAGAATGCCTTTACTATTGTAGTGCTATCTTCTATCCAAAGATTTGTTTCTATAGTCTAACTTGTTTGATTTTTTTATGAGTATGATACGAATTTGTGATGTTTGAAATTCTTTGATAACTGTTGGAGGGACACTAACTTCTTCCATTGTGCTCAGTGGAATTTGCACAACGATGTGAAAAAAAAACTAAAGTTTAAGTTTATATGGGAACTGGGTCAAATATTTACACAAGCCTTGCATATTTCTGAAAAAAAAACTCGCTTGAATTTACACAAATGATCAGCGTTTATACTCAAATTTTGTATTTATTTTCTCTTGAGTTTAGGAATAAATCGACAACTTCCGAGTTTATTCAAACTCAATGACTAATTCTAAAAACACAATACTAGGAATAAACTTCGGTGTTTTTGTGTGTTTATTCACAGGGTTGGGTTTTTTTTCTGGAACACGAGTAAAAATTGTGGAAAAAATTGTTTAAAAAACATTTACAATGATGTGTATGAATATCAAAGTATGGACTATTTTAACACAAATCTGTTCAAGTATATACTCGGGGATGTGTGCGAGTTTTTACGCTGACACAAGGCTTGTGAAATCATTTGACCCAGTTCCCGTATAAACTTAAGCTTGTGTATTTTTTTTTTAACTGTGTAGCGGGCAACTGGACCGGGGCGGCGCGGCGCGGCGACTGGCTGCCCACTCGCCACCGGGGCTACGGGACGGGGGCCCGGGGGGTCCGGGGGCCCGGCCCGGCGTGGCGGCGCGACGCGGGCAGCCGACCAGTGTTGCGAGCGAACTCGCGCGAGCATCGAGAGTCCGAGCATCCGAACGAGCCGCGTGTTATCGTTCCCGCGCGCGTCAAGTGTCGCATGTGCCCTGTGTCGCCAAGTGTTGTGTCAAGTGACCCCAAGGAGTGATTATCCACCACTGAGATTACCTTTCATGCAGGTAATTGCGCCCTTTTCAATCCACCTCCGAGGAAAAGAAAACCTAACAATTTTCGCACGTTGAACTAGAAAATGACTTGCATTTGTTTTTAAAAGATTTCCTCTTAAATCAAGCGGGTTCCTGCTTGATTGTTATTCTACTTGATTTAAGATACAGCTTATTTGGGCGGCAAATTCATTAATGCGTCAAATTGTATTCACTCTCAAGGAAAAGAAAAGCTACATATAACCAATTTTCACACATTAGAGAAAAAAAAAGTGACTCCCATTTGTTATCAGATTCCATCTTGAATCGACCAGGTTTCTGCTTGATATTGATCTAAGCTTCTTTCTGCTTGATTCAAGATGCAGCTCATCTTGGTGGCGAATGCGCAAACGCTCCCTTTTTAATCCACCTTCGAGGAAAAGGAAATCTATGACCAATTTTCACACACTAGAGAAAAAAAGTGACTCCCACTTGTTATGAAGAAGATTCCTTCTTGAATCAACCAGGTTTCTGCTTGATATTGATATAAGCACATTTCTGCTTGATTTAAGGTATAATTCATCTTGGCGGCAAATTCGTAAACGCGTCAAATTGTATCCATCTTAAAGGAACTGCAAATCGATACTTTTTCACACACCGAGCAAAAATGGCTTGAATTTGCCGTCACAAGGAATCCATATTGTATGAAATGATACAACAACTTCAGAATCGAATATGTCCATGAAATTTTTCTAAAGTTAGTTAGAAATAGTTGAAAACCGCATGGTCTGAAGCACGCAACCGAACGCGCGTCTAAGTCCAGTTACACGATCAAATTGAGCCATCAAATTGGGCCTCTCATTGGTTGCATCCTCACCTCAGGTCTTTTTCCACCAATCAGAGTTTCAGTTTGATGGCTCAATTTGATCGTGTAACTGAACCTCCAGGTTCGGATCGTGTAACTGGACGTGTTTCAATTGGATTACATTTTGCAATAAGGAACTAATATTTCTGGCTCATTTTAGAAACAGCATACAATTCATGCCATTGGTTTCTCTATGCAGATATGTGCCTCTATGGAGGGACGAAAGGCAAAGGTTCCTTATTGCAAAATGGAATCCAATGGTGTGTCTGCCGAATCGAAGCAATCTAAAGTAGCATAAATGGTTACACGAACCAAACTGGATGTCCGTTTGTGTATATCGACGGTGTAAGTCGGCAATCACATATCTCGTTTGCGGTGCCTGAAAATCTCCGCCTCTATATTACTTCTTTGAAGGAGAGCAAATTGACATCATTCCTCGAAGTTTTTGCAGAATTTTCTTCGCCTCGAGAAGAAAAATCACGGCAATTTAAAGAATTACCGTTGAGTAGTTTTCTGTTTAAAAAATAACGTATGACAGGAAGTCTGCGACGTCGCAAACCGAGTTATGTGATTGCCGACTTACACCGTCGATGTGTCCTAGAAGTTTGATTTGAAAAACCAAATATTCTAGGCTAACAATAAATCTTCGGATTATTTAACCGAAATGCAAGTTTTTACAAAGTAATGAAGCTGCTCGTTCTTTGGTTGACTGAGCAAATCCTCCATTACTGTCAACGTCAACTATCCGTCCATTAAGTACATTACGTTACGTCCGTTACGTCCGTTGAGTACATTTGACACCTGTATAAGTACATGAACGTGGATTAGATACAATTAAAAAGTCGACAGAGCATCTCGATAAAAGCGGCATTTTTCGTAGGAAGGAGGCAAACTTTCTGAAGACAACAGTTCCGACGACTCGCAAGTCTAGAATTTTCTCCCGCCCTCAGACACGTATATTCTGTCTAGGTGTCATGGTGAGACGTAGGTATTGTTCTTACCCTTAACGCCGTAAGATTAGTCTAAAAAAAGGGTTAGTTAACGAGGGATTCCGGATAAAGATCGAAGTGCGAAGAGGCGGGGAGTCTCTGGAATTTCTGCGAACCCCCTCGTTCGGATCTTACTTTCTCGTGAAAATTAGCCCGGAGAATGCGCTGTCAAGGCCCCGGGAGCATGTGGATTTCTCCGAAAGGTCCGTTTAATGACAAAAATGTATTAGCAAAAAGTTAAGAGGTCCTTGTAAAAATGTTTCCATACTCGTCGATGCCGTCTCCGAGGCCTACGCTGACAGCGAAAAAGTCCCCGGCGTGAAAACTAGAACCGGGAGACTGCACTCGTCATATTTGCAAGTTAGTAACACCATTTTTTCTCCATTTAAATGTATGCAAAACAATCAATTTTCAGTAGAACAATAAGTAAAATTTACAATAGGTAATCTTCAAATAAAATAAGTGCGGATTTTTTTTTTTTTTTTTTTTTTTTTTTTTTTTTTTTTTTTTGGTAAAATCTATCACAGTTCCTTAACCACGTCTAAAATGTTTCGAGAAAATTTAGAAAATAAATCCCAAAATCGTAATTTTTAATGACTTCTTCATGTAAATATCACCCGATAAAATATTTAAAAACGGGTTTCTAAAACATAATTCTTAACATATTTTATTTGAGGGGTTTTAAAAGTAATTTCAAATGGTCGGGGTTTATAGCTCCTAAAAATATTTTTGTATGATTGATGAAAAATTGTATATTTAACTTCGGTTACAATTTTACCGTTAACTGGTACAACTACAGTGAACAATGACGAAAATGGATCAAAAATATAACTGCCTCGGTCTACTCCTTCGAATATCCGAACGATACTTCTGTCCGCAAAACCGCATTTGAACAGCTTTCAACTACTTTCTGAATGTAAAAAAGTTTGGCGAACGTTTCAATAAATATTTAAAACGGACATGAAAACCATTGTTATAAATAACAGATTCTGAAAGTGCGACTTTGAATAACAGAACATTGAAATCCACGTGCCACGAAATATATCAAATAATCCTTAGTAATATTTACGGTACATCCTTGGGCTCGACACCAGTTCAACTTTATCACTGATCTTTCAACCTTGAGTTTCCCTCGTTAAACTTTTTTTCACTCGCACCTCCGGAAAATTCCCGCGTCTCTGAGAAAGTACTTTTGCACCCTTAATCCAAAAGATCAAAGTTGCAAAATTAAATTTTGTGAAGGAGTCAGTCCCCTCCAATTCACTCCCGAGCCTTGTCGTGAACTCGAGCTTAGCTCGATGACATTAAAGGAGAATTACTCATTTTAATTGTATTTCACAAGAAACACCCCTCTTTCATCCCCAGGCCCATGTTTTCGAGCAAATAACTTATCTTTGCAACTCTTCGAAGGACAGCGAAAATGTCCCCTCTCATTTTTTCGACTTATCTCAGAACTTGTGCCTTCGAGCGCAAAAACATACCCCCGAACTACACTCCAGAAAAACTTCAAGGAGTTCTTTCGAAGAAATAATGATCGGCACCCAAGTCCTCTTGCGAGGTTGAAGTACAACCTAAGAGACTCTTTGTAAGTAGATCCTACTCGCAACTTTTTTCTGGTATCTTTACTTCATCTCCTTATGTCCACATTTTTTCGAATGGATCGCCTCTGAAAACTTATTTTAGATGCCAATTTTAATCCATTCATTCAAAAATTGACTTCTTTTTGTTACGCTTGCGGACTGATTGTTGAAATTAATAGACAAAGCTATAGACAAAGCTATAGACAAAGAAGTCAAAAAGGATATGGAGGGATCCTATTGGTGGAAGTGGGTGGTTGCAATGGACATGGAAGCAGATAGTAGACTAATTAACGGCAACCCACGAGAGATCCTATAGTTACTCCAAAATTTTCTCCCTGAGTCGATAGGAACCAACCATTTCAATGAATAGGATCCTCCAGACTCCCTGTGTCTTCTTTGTCTATTCCTTTATCGAACAATTTCAACAATCAGCCCTCAGGTTGAAAATTGATTATTGTTCTCATGTTAATCGGCCAAGAACCCTTCATTTTAAATAGATCATACATTTCAACTTCAGATTCTTGGATCCTATCCAATTATTTGCTTTCTTTAGAGCAAGTATTCAATAAAAAATTTTAAGTCAATGTCGAATATTTAGTCATACATGAATATTTAGTCATGAAGTATGAAATAAATAAGGCACCAAATTTTGAGTCCTCTGGATGACTTCCTCATCCTCAAACCTTCTAAAACGCTCTGCAGCACGAGGAATTACACGTAATTTTTGTAAATTTTTCCTTTGGCATTCTTTATGTTATGTAATCTTCATTTGCCCCGCACACTCAAAGACTCTCGCCCACTTAAGTAACCAGTTTTAACCTTAAACAGCTGTTGTTCCTCAGTTGGTAGTTACTATGGAACGTTAGGTGGGAAGGCGCGTACTTTCATCCTCAAATAAAAAATGAAAATAATCTCATGCTGTATTTTATGCCGGAGAGAAGCTTCAATAAGACCTCCCAATCGAAAATTAAACTTTCTGGAGATTACTGGAAGTCGGTTCCACAAAACTGTGAGTCTTTTTTTGGTCTTTCTGGTAAAGTTTGAAGTGGATTTGGACAAATTTTACTGCAGATTTAATATCAGATGGCCCAGGATTTATTCCTTATTTTATAGCTTGTATAAAGTGCTTTTGTATTAAGAGCAGTTGCGTGTGCCAGTACCACAGAATTATGTTAAGATGCGGTTGGAGTTTATGAATTGGTATGTAAATTAGCTTGAATGGCTTAAAATGAATCTTTGGTTTCACATTATTGGTTACTTTTTGTCTCAAAATGTTAGGAACACGCTTTATAAAGTAGCAATGTAAATACAGCTCAGGTGTGACTTTCTCGACATGATGGTTTTTTCCCCACGAGCTGTCTCATCTTGAAACTAGATAAAATTAAAAATTTCCGATGAGAAACAAAAAATTACTTACGCTCTATGTGGTTTATGCTTTTTTTAAGCTTTTTAAGCGACTGCGTATTTCGCATTTAGAGTTACCGATTACCGCTCAAACATTCAAAATAAAAACGCAGTAACGCTCGTACAGATTTTGCATTTACTCACCCTACATTACATTCTGTCCGATTCAATAAAAACCTAATTCCCGTAATGCTTCAT